GGTGAGTGCTCCCCACTCAGGCAGCCCTTCCGCCGTCCTCCCCGGGGGCACCCACACCCTCCTCCCTCCTCACAGCCAAGCGGGAAGGCGAGGCTGTCCAGGAGCAAGCATGGCCTGCACACATTTCAGAAAAGAACGCTGCAGACCAGGTGTGTCTGTTTGCAGGCTGACACAACCGGCCAACAAGGTGTGCCCGGAAGGTTGGGGACATGCTCAGGTGCCCCGGCTGGAAGTGGTTGGTTCCCAGGGCCCTGCCTGCACCTGGGAATCCCCAGCCTGGTTCTGTGAGTCAGGGAAGGCTGCACCCAAGGGGTTCCCAGCCAGGGACACTTGTTCACCCCGAAATACCCAAAACAGTGGCTCTCAGCGTTGGCTGTCATGGAAACCACCTCGAGATCTTAAAACTACAGGGATGCTGGGCCCCAGCCCTGGAGAAGCTGATGGGATCGGTCTGGCTGGGGCCTGAGCACGGGATTGGAATGTCACTGGTGATTCTAAAGTGTGGCCCAGTTTGAGGACTGGCCTCAAGGACACAGCCGGGAAGTGGAGAAATAAAAGGACTTCTTCATCTGAATGACCTCCACCCAGAGAAAGATTTACCCCACGTTCTCAAAATGCGAGGCCCTCAAACACGAGTCCAATTTCAAAAACAAAACGCTCTGCCGTAGGGCAGCTCGTGTTTAATGTCAGCCACGGTCACCAAAGCAAAACAACTGACACCATCGGCTCCTGAGAGAAGGGGCAACATGACACCACCTTCAGACGCTGCCCTCCTCCAAATAGAAGCTAGCTCTTTCAAATGAAGACATTTTTCTGGATGAAAACCTCTATCTGATTTGTCTCTTTTGTTGGAGACTTGAGAAAACGTCACAGGAATCATTGCCTGAACTGCCCTGAGCCTCAGTTTTGTCATCCGTTAAATGGGGATAAAAAGAGTCCTTACTTCACAGAGTCCTGGAGAGGCTAATAAGGTGGTCAGCCCATCCTGGTTGTAACAGGAAAGTCCTGCCTCCCAGAACACCCTTGTCCCTGGGACAGATGTCACCATCACTGTACCTTACCTGTGTATTTGCTAAAACTACAGCTCCGGGGCCCCAACCTGGCTTTTTGGTGAGAATCTGAAATGCTGGCGGGTTCCTCAGTTGAGTCTTACCATCAAGGAGCTTTCGGGGCGGGGGGGCACTGACAGAAAATCCTATGTAATAAAAGGCTAATATGCAAATTGTCCCCACGGGTGGGAGTTTGACCGACCGGGAGTTAGACTTGCACTGACCACCAGGGGGTGGTGTGGAACATGGCAGGTATCGGCAATGTGGTGCTGGCCGTGGGCGACAGTAGAGGCGATGCCGGCCCCGATGGACCCCAACAAGTGTGGGACCATGGCTGGATGGTGAAGCAGGCAAGCAGGCAGCACCAGGCCAAGGCGGGTGCTAGCGGGGGCCTCAATCGCCCTGCTGGTCACCCCACAGACAACAACCAGTGGTGGTGGTGGATGGGTGGGGGCAGCAACCAGGTGGTGCCAGGCCAAGGCAGGTGCGAGCAGGGGCCCCAATCGCACCACTGGTCACCCCACAGATTGGCCCTGATCGCCGGCCAGGCCTAGGGACCCTACCCATGCAGGAATTTCATGCACCAGGCCTCTAGTACCAATAATAATGATGGCGATAATCCTAACCATGCCAACACTTGCATGGGCATCATCGTGTGCCAGGCCCTTCCCAGGGCACCTTGCATAGATTAATTTAATTCTCACAACAACCTCTTAAAATGGGGGCTGTGGTTATCCCCATTATACAGATTAGGACACTGAGGCCCAGCAGGGCTCAGTAACTTGCCCAGGGTCACATACTCAGGATGAAGCCTGGCAGGGATTCCAAACTCAGGGTTCATCTCCAGAGCCCACATCCCTGCCTACATGCTGCACTGCTCTCTGCCCAGAGCGCCCAGCACTGGCTGGCACATGGTAGGCCCGTCCTGCACGTCTGTTGTGATTATGTCACCGTTCTATTCTTTGTACTATCTTTTGGGCATTAAAAGACTTGCCATTCCGTTGCCAACTTTTAATTGCTAAGCTTTTAACTGATGTTTTAATTGTGAAGGTTTAATTGGGAAGCATTGGCCTCACCTTGTGTAGGCTGAATATTCATTTCTGCTGATACTGACATTGGACAATAGGTGGCCTCAAACATTTTTCATAACCTCAAACCCCAACTTGGACTGAATTTAACTTGAATACTAGGAGCTTTAAAGGTTGTGTGAAAAGCTGCATTTAGGGAGACAGAGTTCGGTGTGTGTGTATTTGTGCATGTTGCCTGGGTCACAACCTTTAACCTAGGAGCCTCAGTTTTCCCATCTGTAAAATGGTCGTGCTGATTGGCTGTAAAGGAGTGAATTAGTTTACTGCAAGCAACCCTCTTAGAACAGTTTCTCAACACATGGACAGCACTCAGCAAATTTGTTGTTATTACTATTTGATTAGTATGGTTGTTAGAGCTGTTATTGTCGTTATTTTTATACACAGTGGGTTCAAACCCTGGTCAGTCTTACTATGGGTAACATATAATTTCTCAGCCGCCTCAATCCACTTATTTGCAAAGGGATTGTTAAGCTTTCCAGAAAGCTGTACATCGATGATAAAAAAATAAATAATAAATAAAAATAAAAAATTTTAAGAAAATGAATGTGGCTGTCTTCCTTTTTTTTTTTTTTTTTCCTAGTAAAGCACAGAGATTAATTAAAACAAAAGTACACTCTCAGATCAGGGAGTGTGGGCGGACTCGAGAGGTGAGTTGCCCCCATGGCTGTCTTCCAATAAACCAACATTTGAATTTCATATCATTATGATGAGTCGCAATCCATGATTCTTCTGATTTTTCCAACCACTTTCTGAATGTGAAACCCGTGCTTAGCTCACTGGCTGTACCAAACAGCCTGCGGGCGGGCTCTGTCCCTCAGCTGCCATGTGCTGACCCTGGTCTTGAGAATTCAGTGTGATATTCATAATGCCCCCTTTGTAGATGGAGTGATGACCTATTGTGATTACGCACACCGTGGATTTTACAAATAGAAAAACTGCAAAATACCGAGTGTCCAGTATGTGTTAATGCTGCTCAGCTTTATTCCTGGTGCAATTAAAGAGCCTGTCAAATCCCCCGATCCTGTTATCTACCAGATCCCCCGAGAGAACGGAAGGTGAGATCTACGACCCTTTCCGGCCTCGGTAATTTCTGCCAACTTGACGTGTCAATTTCCAGGGCATAAAAACTCACACGGCGGGCGAGAGGCCCATGGGACCCTTGGAGGTGCAGTGGCTGCTTTCAGACAGAAATCAGGCCTGGCTTGTATTCTGAAAGCTGCCAGAGCGGGTGGGCCCGTGGCCAGGTGTTGGAGGTGGGGCTCCGCTGGAATCGCTTTCGGTGTGTGAAGTGGTGTTTAGGTAGCCAGGCAGCAGGTCTAGAGCAGCTGGAAGAGCTCATTCCTGGGACCGGACGGACTCTGGGTCAGATCCGCGCTCGGCACGTGTCCTGGGTGGGTTTGGGAGACTCGACTCCCTCCTCTCGAGGGAGGTGATAAAGCGTGGAGCTTCCCAGCGGTCAGGAGCACGGCAGCCTGTGTTTGCATCTTGCCTCTGCCATACACCTGGGTGACCTTTGGGATGTAATGGAACCTCCTGGGACTCAGAGCGAGATGATGACACCTGTCTCACAAGTGCTGTGGGGCCACATGAGAAGATGCAGGAAAGGCACTTCGAAATCAGAGCGTGGAGGACAGCATGCTAAGTAATTGCTGGCTGTTAGCATTGTGATTATAACAAGGCTCAGAGGCTCAGCGATGGTGTGAGCTTGTCTGGCCCAACATGCCAGGTGAGGGTAGTTACCAATGTGGCGTCCCTCCCTCCAACCAATAAGTAATGGTTAGCACGTGATACGTGTAAATGCAGCGTGGAGAACAGGAGATGCAACGGTGGGTAAGACAGACAGTCCTGCCCTCGTGGTTCTTACGATGTATTGGGGGGAGGGGCAGAAGTTACATATTCAGTTTTGCCCTCCAAGTCTGGGCCAGTCGTTACTTGGGCCTCTTGTCGTCTACCGTGGCCCCCTCTTGCTATGTTAGCAATTTATTTTATTCATAGCATCATATCCTGTGTCTTTTGCTTAACAAGCACTTCTATATTGCTTCTTATGAGCTAGACATTATTCTAACCACTTAGCAAGAATTAATTGATTTAGTACGTAGGATTCCTGTGAGGCACAGAGAGGCTAATTCACTCACCCGAGGACACACAGTGACGAGAGGCAGAAAGAGGGTTGAAGCTCAGGTTGTCTTGCTCCAGCTTTGTGCTCATAACCACCTACCAAGCTGCCTTGTCATCAGAAATGGCCTGGTTTGTGGGTTTCTTGTTTATTTGTTTGTCCACCCACCACCACTAGCCCCCCCCAACCCCCAGGTTGCAGCTCTGTGAGGTCAGGGGCCTCATCTCTTTAATTCATAGTTGTAACCCTAGTGCCTGGGGCAGCATAAGATGCAGAGTTGGTGCTCAGTATATATTTGTTGAATCAGTGAATGAGGAAAATATAGTCAAATAAATATATAATTACAAGTAGTGACGAATGCTATATAAAAAAAAATCTTGTGCTAGGATGGGTTTTAACAGGGAGCCTAATTTAGTTTGAGGATCAGAGAATGCTAAAAATTGTAAGTATTCCTTTAATCATCTTCATCCTAAAATCTCCTGGGTATAAAAGCTGTGACCGAGAGGGAAGAAATGCTACCCACACTGAATACACTGTTCGTCATGATAAATATTTACCCCAGAAATGAAACGCAATTGAAAACCGGGGCTGCATTTGACTTGAACTTGGTGGATTAACGGTCTAAAATGTCTCTCTCCCCCAAATAAATGTAGGCCATGGTGATGACATGCCACAGTCACCTGTCAGGTCTCTACTGTTGTTTGTCTTGAATTTTAATTTCTCTCTTTTTTCTCTCTTGCAGGAACCATGGGTAACCAAATGAGTGTTCACCAAAGAGCTGAAGAGCAAGAGAACGATTCAGAAACAGACGCTCATGAGGTAGAGTAGTTGCGGTCACTGGACATGAGCTACCACCAGGCAGAACGGGGGGAGGAGAGGGCAGGAGGCAGGGAGGATGAATAAATGGCCTGCTCAGTGCTCACTTCATGGGCCCGCTCTCCCCATGGCTTGTCCTGTTGCATTGAAACCTCCGGAATCCATCACGGAGCTTGGCAAAAACGCAGGCGCTAGGGCCCCACGGACACTCCCTGAATCAGAAGCGGCAGGGCTGGGAGCCTCGGGATCCTCTGTCTTTAAGGACCTCCAAGGTGATCCCTCTGGAGCCCATGTGACACCTGCTCCCAGGTGGGTTTGGGCCAGTGGTTCTCAACTGGGGGTGATTTTGCCCGTCCCCACCAGGGGGCACTTGGCAATGTCTGGAGACATTTCTGGTCGTCACAACTCAGGTAGTGCCACTGGCCTAGTGGGCAGAGGCCAGGGATGCCGCTAAACGTCCTCCGTGCACAGAACAGGGGGCAACTGTCACCGTGCGAGGATGACAGCCCCGAGGACAATTGGTCGTTCGAAGCCTCGCTGCACATCAGAATCAGCCGGGACCCAGCGGCCACCCAGGACCAAGTGCATAGGAACCTGTGAGGGAGGGAGGCCAGAGCCCTCGTGTGCAGCCAAGGGGGCAGGGGGCAGGGGGCACTCGTTTAGGAATTCATCTTTGAAAGACTTCTCTGGAAGCCTTCTCCTCAGGTCTCCGTGGCCAGGGAGCGGAGAGCCGGCACTTCCACCATCAGGTGTCAGAGATGGCGTCAGGGTGAGACCTGGAATTCCTCCAGGAGGAAGATGATGCCTGTGAGCGAGCACTGATCAGATCACAGGGGGAATTCCTGCTCGGAATGGAAGGCTGGGTTTGAAGAAACGGCTGAAAACTCATAGCGGGTGTTCAACCTGACCGCACACTTTCATTACCTCGGACTTTTAAAACCCTGAGGGCTGGCCCCACGGCCAGCTGAAACCCTCCGGGGGGGGCCCGGCAGCAGCAGGTTCTAAGCTGCCCGGTGAGTCCATGTCTGGCCCGGGAGCCTCTGGCCTCCAGGGCGAGGCGGTCGCAGGGAGCCGAGCCGTGTGCTGAGCCCATTCGGAGGTGCGGGCTCTGCCCAATGTACACCGCCAAGAGGTTCCCGACTCTTACTTCCATCAGGAGTTGGAAAACAGTGTTGATGGAATCTCCTGGTTTTTAAATATTGGCAACTGATTCCAAAATGCTTTTTAAAATTCTGTGAGCCAAATAAATCTACTTTGCACCCCACGTATTGGCCCTGGGAAGCCGGCTGTAACCTCGGGGCCACATGGTGACGTGGGCTTGATGTTTCACTTTCGTGAATTCTTGGTAGAGTTCACGATAAACTCGAGAACACGGGCTTACTTTAACAACGAAAACCATTTAAAAAATGTAAAGAAAGGAAAAGTCTTCTGTGTCCCCCCAGGAAGGCCCCACCTTTTAGCTGGTTGCTGCTGTTTAGTCTTTTCGTTTTTATTTTTCTCTGCACTTATTAACGGCTTACACTACTAACAGAATCAGCAAAGCACTTAGCATAACATTATTCTTCAATTAATATCAACTATTAGTGGTATAATTCAGATGATTTTATTACTTAACTGACCTGACATACCATTATTTTCTCTATTGTGACTTTTTGCTTTCCATGTGTGTATATGTGTATGTCTGTATGTGTGTACACACACACACACATAATCTTCTTTAATATCTACAATAAATAACAGAAAATAAAAATATCAGGTCAGGGCCCTAAAACTGGAAAAAGGCTGCAGCATGAGGTGAGGGGAGTGTGGAGCAGGCAAAGGCTGCAGCGAGCTCCCTGGGTGCGACAGGTGTGTTGACTAAGGGCCCGGCTGTGTGTGCAGGACGGTGGGGCGAGGTTAACCTCACAGGCTTCGGAGTCACGTGCTGAATGTTCCCCACTGATCAGTGAGCCTGGGCGTCCCATCACCCGTGGGTCCCCCCCTGCTGCGCCCGTGGGCTCCTGAGCTGAGACGCAGACAAGTGGTGTTCTCAGGGTCCCGGGAATCCAGTCTTTAGGGGGGAGATGGCATTTCTCGAAGGGAATGCTGGGAGTCCCCAGAAACACGGTCTTTAAATTAAGTGTCATCTTGGGAGGCACCCCGTGGCCTTGAGGTCTGACTTGACTGATACTGACACGTGTCTGTGCAGGTGGCGTCAAAGAGGGACTGTGTTCACAACGGGACCCCGGTGATGGTGTCAACCTACACGGTTCAACTCTACGACGAAGGTCAGTGCCACGGGGCCTCTCGGGACCGGGACTGCTGATCCTGGTGACGGGGAAATGAGACGGAGGATCGGAGGCCCAGGCTCACCTGGACACACCTGTGTCTGTCGCCGGGGGTGCCTAACAGTGTCCCAGCGGCTGGTTTACGCCACTGAAATGGGTTGTCGGGCAGTGCGGAGGCCAGAAGTCCCAGCTCGAGGTGTCGCAGGGGTGGTGCCTTCTGAGGGCTGTGGGGGGCCGTTCCCTTCTGAGGGCTGTGGGGGGCTGTTCCCTTCTGAGTGCTGTGGGGGGCTGTTCCTTTCTGAGTGCTGTGGGGGGCTGTTCCCTTTTGAGGGCTGTGGGGGGCTGTTCCCTTCTGAGGGCTGTGGGGGGCCGTTCCCTTCTGAGTGCTGTGGGGGGCTGTTCCCCGCCTCTGTGCGAGCTCCTGGGGCCTCAGGCTTCCTCGGCTTCCACGTGGTGTCTGTGTCCCCACAGCATCGTCCTTCCGTGCGTCTGTCCCTGTGTCCAAATCCCCCCTCGTATAAGGTGCGGTCACACCGGGTTTTCCTCCTCGGTGACCTCATATGTACCTGGTCATCTGCAAAGGGGGTCACGGGCACTGGGGGTGAGGACTCCATCCTCTGTGGGCACACAATTCAACTGGAACAGCTCTCAGCTCTCCTGGTGCGGGACAGCTGAGGAGGCCAGATTTACGGGAGATGAGATGAAAGCAATGGAGTAAAATCACCCAGTGTGGCGTGTGGAGGCAGACAGGCCCCCTGGTTAAAATCCCTGCTCTGACCTTCCCTGTAAGCCGAGCCTGGCTCCCTCCATCACTGTGCAAGCTGTGCCGTGTCCCTGACTCCCAGAGGGGTCCTGGGCCAGAGCATCCCGGCCACAACAGGAACCGTTAGACCTGCAGATTCCGGGGCCCCAGCCAGACCTCCTGGATCAGAAGTGCTGGCGGTGGTGACCCCCATGTTTTCTCGAATGCCCTCCAGGGATTCAGACTCTCCCTCAGACCCCTGCTTCTGAGGCCCGGCAGGCACCTCTGGGCGGCATAGAGAGGACTGGAATCGCTCCGTCTAGAACAGTGGTTCTCAACCTTCCTAATGCTGCGACCCTTTAATACAGTTCCTCATGTTGTGGTGACCCCCAACCATAAAATTATTTTCGTGGCTGCTTCATAACTGTAATTTTGCTACTGTTATGAATCGTCATGTAAATATGTGATATGCAGGATGTATTTTCATTGTTACAAATTGAACATAATTAAAACATAGTGATTAATCACAAAAACAATATGTAATTATATATGTGTTTTCCAATGGTCTTAGGCGACCCCTGCGAAAGGGTTGTTCGACCCCCAAAGGGGTCGCGACCCACAGGTTGAGAACCGCTGGTCTAGAAGGAGCCACTCAGCTCCGGGCCGGCTGCCCTGCGGGAATCCCTCAGCAGATAAGAAGAGGTTGCAATGAAAGCCGGATTTTAGGAATTTCAAATGAAGTTTTCCAATTCAAAAAAATCTAAACACTGCGGGCGAAACCCCAAGCGGGCCACATCATAAATGCCAACCTCTGCTATTGTAGTTTTTTCCTACTTCACATCTCTTAACAAAGGTCGCTTCTTTTTTTAATCACCACCACCAGTTATCCCAGCAGGAAGCGTTAAACATTTAAACCCTATAGCCAACTCCAAGCGTGCTTGCTTGGCTCTGGGCTCACCAGGCATCCTGCCCACGATAAAGTGTTCCTGTGTGTGCTCACAGGGAGGGGCCACCCGGGTGGGAGGTCACCAGTGGCCGGTCCCCTTTTCAGCTCTATTTTCTCCTCTTAAACCAATAGACTGCCCAGGGGGTTAAATCATGAGTTCTTTTTATTTTAAGTTTAAATCCTCACCTGAAGATATTTTCCCATTGATTTCTAGAGAGAGTGGAAGGGAGAGAGGATGGGGGGAGAGAGAGAGAGAGAAACATTGACCTGTGAGAGACATATCGATTGGTTGCCTCCTACACCCACCCCTATGCCCCTCCCCGGGGCTGGGGAACCTGCAACCAAGGTATGTGCCCTTGACCAGGAATCAAACCCTCAACCCTTCGGTCTGTAGGCCAACACTCTAACCATTGAGCAAACCAGCCACAGCCATGAGTTCTTTTTAAAATGACCTCTGAGAAGATAATCCTTCCTCCAAAGTTCTCAATATTGTAATACAAACTGTATTTATTTTTTAAATATCTCATTAGAACTCTAATGAAGCAGCTTGCTTTGACTCAGAATACTCGGTGCCTAAATGATACCCATACCTGAAACTTCTCTGGCCCAGATTCTCAGATTTCTGAGGATAAATTAATGCATTGCATTTCTATTTTTAAAGTCTTTCCAGAGCCCTCGGGTTTGTAGGCTGACCCCTTGGAATAACTCGTTATTTTATGACTGATATCTAGGAATGTAAGCTGATGATTGTAGGAATAATATGTAAATATTATGAAACAACTGATGTTTACTGAATACCCACCACCTACCACCTGCCGTGTTCAGTGTCTTCCAGGAAACATGTCATTTGATCCCTACAGCCACTCTGTGAAGAAGGCACTGTGATTTCCTTGCTCGTTTTATAATCATATTGAGGCACAAAGAGAAGACATAGCCCAGTGGCTCTCAACCTTCTGGCCCTTTAAATACAGTTCCTCATGTTGTGACCCAACCGTAAAATTATTTTCGTTGCTACCTCATAACTGTAATGTTGCTACTGTTATGAATCGTAATGTAAATATCTGATATGCAGGATGGTCTTAGGCGACCCCTATGAAAGGGTCATTTGACCGCCAAAGGGGTCTCGACCCACAGGTTGAGAACCGCTGACGTAGCCTGACCAGGTCAGGTGTTTCATAAATGACGGGTTCAGCGTTAAACCCAGGCCCTTCCCATCCACAGTGTGAATTCTTTAACAATTGCCCTGAGCTGCCCTGGAAGCCAGTGCTCAGTCCCCGCGGGATAGCATGACTTTCTTAGGAAAGAAAACTGGGCACCGGACGCAGTGTCTTTCCTGCACTGAAGAGGTCAATGTCCCTCCCTCCTGACGCCGGGCTGCCCTCGGCCTGTACTTGATGCCGTTTCATCTTCCTTAAACTCTTGCACATTTTTTCATGGAAAGTGAAACTCTTTGGTATGTCGTCTGTTTGCTCTAGGAGAAAACCTTTTATTGAAACCAGATTCAAGATGCGCTGGGTTTTCCCAAGCTTCCTCCTAGGGAATGAAAGCTCGGTTCTGCTCATCGGAAGGGGAATTTTATTCTTTCCAGAATAATGTCCGCAACGCGCGTAAACTATCCCCATCTTTGCAAGAGCATAAAACCTGTCACTCCAATGGGTTTTTATTTTAATTTTTTACTGGTTTTAGAGAGAGAGGAAGGGAGGCAGAAAGAGAGACACATCAGTGTGTCATTCCACTTATTTATGCGTTCATTGGTTGGTTCTTATATGTGCCCTGACCAGGGTTTGAACCCCCAACCTTGGCATGTCGGGACAACGCTCTAACCAACTGAGCTACCCGGCCAGGGCTCCAGTGGATCTCCTTCTGCTCACTCACGAAGATTGGATTTGTGTGTGTGAGTATGTGTATGTGTAAGTTAATGTTTTCAAACATGTTTGTTTTTAATGTTTATCTAAGGCAGCGGTTCTCAACCTGTGGGTCGCAACCCCTTTGGCGGTCGAACGACCCTTTCACAGGGGTCGCCTAAGACCATCCTGCATATCGGATTTTTACATTATGATTCATAACAGTAGCAACATTACAGTTATGAAGTAGCAACGAAAATAATTTTATGGCTGGGTCACAACATGAGGAACTGTATTTAAAGGGCCAGAAGGTTGAGAACCACTGATCTAAGGTCACAAAGGACTGTAATCTCATTTCCCCAAGTGGATTTCTTTCCTCTTACTGAGACGACAAAGTTATTTTCACTTCTATCCAGCTCCTTAGAACTCACTTCCTCCCATTTCGTTCTCTTCACCTTCTTTCCTCCCATACTAACTGCCTCCCAGGCAGACTTGAAGAGCCTGGAGACTCCATTTCAAGGAGAGAATTGGTTGCCACTAATTGGCTAGTGAAATAGGTACTGACCAAGCCCCTGAAATTCTCTCCAAGTCACTGAGTATGTACATAATTTAAACTGGCATAAGTGAGTCGGGGGCGGGTGGGGGGATTGTTAGCCCTGTAATGGTAAAGCCAGCTTCAGGCAGAGCTGGATCCAGGTGTCCAAATGCTATCCTTGGGCCTCTCTCTGCTCCCTGATCTTCTGGCTCTGTTTTCATCTGTGTTAGTGTCATCTGCGGGCAAGCATTCCCAAAAAGGGATGGCCAAGGCCACCAGCTCCGATGTACCCCCTACTTGTTTGCCAACCCAAGCACAAAGGGCAAAACTCTGTTCTAATGGCAAAACTCCCAGGTTGATTAGTCTTGCTCAGATCATGTGCCCACCTGGGAGGTGAGCATTTTAGCAAGGGAAATAGAAGCTCCAGGGCATGGGCGTGGTTATGCACTCACCCAATTTGGGGGGCAGAGCTTCGATGTCATGGAATGTCCCATGTTGGAGTCCTAGATCTCACAAGTTATCAAAAAACACTTCGCCCATTCTCTGATATCAAGAGCGATGGTTTGCATCTGTTGTAATCTCTAAATGCATTGAAGTCTCGTCTGGATCCTGGGATATAGGAAATGCATCCTTGATCAAAGCAATATATTGGCATTTTTAAAAAATCCGTCCACAGGAAATGCTTTTCAGAGCCGTTTTCTGCGGCTGTAGCACTCGCCTCTGTTCCTCTGGTTTCCAGCCAGAGAGAGAGGAAGAGAGGAAAGGGACCGAGAGAGATCAGTTGATGCTCTTGGCATTTTGAAAAGCCCTTCCTTCTTCTGAATTGTAGTCTCTCCCTTTCTGTCAGCTGTTTCCTTTTCTCTGGCATGGACCAGCCCCGCAATTCATTTATATTCACTCTGACACTTCAGCCGCTTACTGGCTTTCTTGGCACCCGACATACTCATCTATCACTTTCTTACTCCCACTCTTCCCCTCCCTCCTGTCCCCTCTGAGAGTAACATTGACCGTGATGATGGATTCTGGGACCACAGGGAAAAGGCTAAGAAGAGCTGGAAGTTATGGTCAATGTTCCTGCAGGCGGTTCCTTGAGGTCTGAGTTTAGGAGGAAACCCTGGTGCTTGCCATGGGTCCCCGGTGGGTTTCCTCTGTGCTCCTTGGAGCTGAATGGGGAGGCTGCCCTTCTGCACAAGAATCCAGCTCTCTCCCTCTCTCTCTCTCTCTCTCTCTCTCTCTCTCTCTCGCTCTCTCTCTCTCTCCATGTTTGTTCCTGACTGTAGACACTGGGAGATACTAGAATTTGGCAACACTTGCTAATGGGTGGATATGTGTAGTATGCCTCACTCCATGTTCATGCCCACTATGAGCAGACCAAAAGATCCTCCGTTCCCCCTTCTCTTTCTCTCTGTCTTCGTACAATCAGATATTTAAGAAGTAGCTGTCGCCCAGACGGTGTGGCTCAGTGGTTGAGCGTCAACCCATGCACCAGGAGATCACTGGTTTGATTCTCGGTCAGGGCACATGCCCAGGTTTCAGGCTCAATTCCCAGTAGAGGGCGTGCAGGAGGCAGCGGATCGATGTTTCTCTCTCTCTCCCTCTCACTTCCTCTCTCTCTCTCAAATCAGTATTTTTTAAAGCAGTAGCTGTCAGCAAATTATAAAGCAGAAAGCAATGTTGGCAAAGGCGTGGCAGAAACCTTAACAATAATCACAGTATCTGCCAACTACCAAGACCCACTATGGAAAAGGCGGTGTGCCAGGTCCTTGGCAAGAGTTTTCTCCTTCAAACGCCTCAACAGCCCTGCAAGGGAGCTACTGTTATTCCCATTTTACATATGAGGACATTCCAAATGTTTAGTGACTCGTCCAAGGCCATACAACTTAGCAGTAGAAGATCTTGATCTTTAACTGTGGTTCCAAAATGTGTAGTACATCGAATTGCTTTATAACAGGGACCTAGAGAAGAAGGCAGTTGAAGGTCAATGCAGAGGTCAAAGCAAAAGAGATGCCGGCAGCAGAGTCCTCCTTGCAGAAGGGGCGGTCCCGGGCAGCTCACCCCCCGGGTCTGACCCCACGTGCCTGAGGCCATGCGGGCCTGAGGTCTGAGTTGCCTTCTTGCGTGGACATCTGCTCTTCTAGCCTTAAAATAGAAACTTCTGAGTCTTCGTTTTTGAAATCCTTTAGTATTCTCAGCAGATTTCTAACCGTAACCTCCTGCTGTTTTCTCACTCATGAGTCCTGACAATAGCTAGTGTTCCAGGCACTGTTCTACGTGCTCTAAGAATGCTAACTCACGCATCTTCCTAACAAAACGCCTCCTTTTACCAGACCGCCGAGGCACAGGACAGGTAAGTTACCTGGATTCAAATAGGCATTCGAGCTCAGTGGTTCCCAAATGCGAGTCGCCCTCCCCCCTTCCCTGTCCCCCAGCCTCACCTCCCGCCTGCCACCAGGGGGCAATTGACAGTGTCTGGAGACATTTTTGGTTGTGACAACTTGGGGGCGCTACTGGCATTTGGTGGGTTGAGGCCAGGGACGCTGCTAAACACCCCAATGCACGAGGTGGGCCCCGTAACAAAAGACCCACCCAGGGGCCAGGAGTCCCAAGGCTGAGCAGCCTCTTCCAGAAGCGGAGCCCAGGCTCCTCCCGCTCCTGCCTCCCAGGGGACATCGGGACAATGTGCGCCTCAGGGGTCCCTGCGGAGATGCCCGAGGTCCTGAGCCTGAGCCTGGGGAATGCAGCACCTGGTGGGGGCTTTCCACCACGGCTTCCTCCTCGGACCTTCTGTCCCTCTCTCCCTGGAGGAGTAGGGTCGGGGACAGCTGACAGCCACTCTCTGTTCTGCAGGGTGATGGCCACGGGCCGTGTGCGCGGTGGCGTTTTGTGTGTGAAAGCGGGGGTCGTCCGTCACCCACCCTTTGCGTTTCCTCGCGGGCTGGGCTGAATGACGGCTGTGTGTGTTTGTGTTTGCAGTGGATTTGGGAATCAGCGTCCAGGAAGACAGTGCGGCCGCTTCTTCCCCAAAGACAGTGGAGACCAGCGCCGTCGCGGGTGCCGGCGGGAAGAATCTCGGGAAGGAGGCCAAGCCCCGGGCACCAGCTGCTAAATCGCATTTTTTCTTGCCTCTCTCTCGGCCGGTACCAGGGCGTGCCGGAGACCGAGGCGAGGATTCATCGGAGCCACCCCGCGCGCCAGGGCGGCCCGATGTCAGCTCCGCGGGCGGCCTAGGGGACAAAGGCGCGAGTGACAGCATGGCCCTGCGGCCGGCAGCTGCGCGGGGGCCCGGCCCCGATAAAACCCCCGGCCGCACCCCCGCCGACCACCACGGCCTCGCTGCCACTCGGGGACCCGTGCCTCGGCCACCTGAGTCAGGGGCGGCGGCCCCCTCCAAGCCTAAGGACGCCGGCTTTTTTAACAAACTCTTCAAACTGGACAAGGGGCAGGAACAGGCCCCCGCTGTCAGCCACCAGGAGGCCGAGTGTGCGGCGCGCGAGAACCAGGCCTTCGACATCCCTGCGTGCCCCGGGCCGGCCCACGATGTCCCCGCAGAGAGGGTAAGTGCTGGTGGGACAGTCTGTCCTGCTCTGGGTGCGAACTCGGGCCGCTGGGTAGGACGAGGGCACACAGAGGCCTCTGCAGGCACCGGGCCCTGGCAGGTGTCAGGCCCTCGCCCCCCGCAACAAGGAGCACATTGTGGCGGTGCCTCCCGGGCGTCGGGGCAGAAACATCTGTTTGCAAACAGTCACAGCTGTGGCATCTGTTTTATGTAAAAGCCAGCGGAGGTGAGTTACATACAGATGAATCCGTCCTTCCATTTATCAAAGGGGAAGCAAGACAGGTTGCATCTGTGATCGATGGCGGCCGGAGGGAAAGGCTTAGTAGGATAAAAATGGTTCCTGAAGACTTAACTAGCCTCCGCGGCTTAGGGGCTTCCCGTGGAACACATTTCGTTTCTTACGTTTCATAGCCCGGATTGATCTTTAACTGTCTTTTGCAGTAAAGGGTGGGTTTCTGTAAAGAGCTTTTACCGCTATGGGCTGACTCTGTTATGTACTAATTATTTTCCAACAACCCGGAGTAATACCTTTGTAAAAACTAGATTTTTTTTAAAGGAGGTATCCAGAATTCATTTTCTTTTCTTGACACTTTTTGGCCTGTACAAAGAAAGGCGCCAGTTCTTTTGATCTTAAGAAGAGCATGAGCTTTGAACCATGAAAATATTTGTTTGTGTTCGGGGAAGAGAGAAGAGATCCTTGAATGAAGAAGGAAATAAAAATGAATACATTGCCTTTTAAGGGATTTGTTTCCTTAGTTAATGGACTTTTAAATGACAGTATTTTTCAGACTTTGGGGTTAAATCAAGTGCCTCTAGTTGAGGTTAGAACCAGGAAAGCATTAGCGGGGCTGAGTTATTGATTATACGCTCATGTGTCAAGATGACCAATATATTTGTCTTAATAACAGCTAACTGCACAGGCATGCTGCGGATGCTGACACTGGCTGCTGTTTGTTGAGCACCTACTATGTGCCAGGCTTTGTTCTAAGCACGGTACATAGATGGTGTGCATTGCTCTGCAGTTTCACCGCATCTGGGGTAGTGTGAAGAGTTACATTGTAAATATTAAACAGCAGCTGAAAATTCTGAACTGTTAAAACTGGGAAAAGATCACTAGGCTCACGTGTTTAGTTTCTTAACTATCAGTATTCTTGCTGTCCTGTAAAAGTTGATTCCAAGAAATACGATATTCAAATGTTCCTTCAAAAGTTTAGAACAAGTGCCCTGCAAATGCCCTCTTCCCCAAATGCACCAATTCGGGAGCCCATTGACCTGCTTTCTGTCTAATTCAAAGTAGGTCTGTCCATGCATCCAGGCCCCAAATCTTTGCTGAGTGTGCCACAGCGAGGCCCGGGGGAGGCCCGGCCTCATGGTGGACAGGACAGAGCGCTTCTGTCCTCAGAGAGTGTGCAGTCCAGCAGGGAAGAGGATAAAAGCCCCACAGGTGTTATACGAGGTGTCAGGTGTCTGCTGGGGGCAGGGAGGAAGGAAGGGGGGCAGGGAGGAAGGAAGGGGGGCAGGTGTTGGAGAGGGAGCCCCAACACGGGAGAACTAGCCTCGCTAGCCCAGGCAACAGTCCCTCACTGTATAACCCCCTCGCAGAACGGTGCTTGTGTCGGGGCTATAAACGGGTCATCGAAATTCATGGATGTCTGAGAAGCTATGTACTACTTCACTCCGAGTGCGGACACTGAGGGAGCTCGCGCCATTGGTCATGGGCTCCAAAGCCCATCCCGGGCGGGTGACCCACTGCACAGTCACTGTTCGCAGGGGCATCCAAAGCCCACCATTGCCTGCCTTAGGGAAAGACTGAGCTGCTGGCACGTGCGTCCCCATAAAACCCAGCGCACCCAGCCCATTCCTGTTTCAAAAAAAGTGCAGAAGTCTCCAAGCAGCCCATCGCCGCGCCTCACACGCACACACGCGCGTCCCCATAAAACCCAGCGCACCCAGCCCATTCCTGTTTCAGGAAAAGTGCGGAAGTCTCCAAGCGGTGCTTTCTCAGCTCAGCTTTCCTTTTCACTGACGACTCTTAGGGGGAGCCCCTCGATTTGAGTGGAATGAGTTTCAAAATGAGGCTGGAGTCAGAAGAGAGGGGCGTGTGTAGAGAGCATGGCCAGTATCTGATATAGTCAAGCCCCAGAGATGCTCTGAAGGCACAGTGACCTCTCAGAAGATACCCTCCGCCCCCCGTTGTAACTTGCCTTCCTCTCTGAGTGAGTCCACGCCCTTAGGTCCACGAACAAAATGTGCATCTGTTTTTGTGACACTGCCAACCTTCAGTTGTTGCTGGTGGTGTCCTTGGAATTGGATGCCACTCTGTACTCTGCATATGAAACACAGACACGGCGTGAACTAGCCATTCCTTGTTCTCCTTCAGTCTGTGAACTTGGGGATATGTATGTACATAGGTCTGCAAAGATCTATGAAAGCAGCCTTCTGATTGCTAAGGTTTCTCATCTGGTTGCTGGCGGCACAGTGTGTCTCTGGAGCTACACACACACACACACACACACACACACACACATCAATTGTTCTAGATGTGTTATGAGAGAACCCAGCCCTGAGAAAGTAGTAGGAAGAAACCTCCTCGATCCATGGCCTTCTGGGGAAGTAGCACTTATGCATAAATGGCCGTCAGTGTGCTGATTCAGAGCCCGCGGAGTGAATGATGCCTCGGGCTCAGCCCTGTCAGCTCTCCCTCCCCTCCCGCAGGCGAGCCCAGCGGTGTGCCCAGCCCCTCGCCGGATTGGCATTCCAGCCACAAACCCACCGAGCTGCGAATTGGGAGAACGATGCCACCATTTCATTCTGGGGGGGAACACAAATCTTCTGTTTTCAGGATGACAGTCTGATTTTTGTGCCTCATAAAACTACATTCAGGGCAAAGCAGGACTCAAACAAGGCCAGGATTCATGAACAAACGCAGCATTTACTACGCAGGCCAAGGAAAGATAAAGTCTATGCCTGGAAGGTTTCGCTGCGCTGGGATTCCCACGAGCCAGCGTGTGGGCAAGGATAAGACTTTCTTTTTTAATTTTCCTCTCCTCTCAGCAACTGGACCAGAGCTACGCATTGAAGATTCATCACACACACAAAATGACAATTTGACCTTTACTCGTTAAAACACGCACACGCACACGCGTGCACACACAATTTCTGTTGTCAGCCAGGCTTCCAGAAGTGTCTTAGTGTTGGGGGCAGGAGGAGGTCCCTCAAAAGTGTTGTCAAGCACAGATGTGTGAGATGGAAGCAGGAATATTCCTTTTCTTTTCAACGTTTAATTAAATTCTGCAGTTGTTACTTAAACACCAAGCTTGTGCAAGGCATTTAGGAGATAAATCATCATTCTAGCCCTTCGATGATCGTACAGTTTCCTAAGAGGCACCATTTCTTAAAGGAGAATTATGATACTTGCATTGATCTGCAAATTCGTTCCGACTACAGATATGAAGAAAGATACTCAGTGGTTTCGTGTCCTCCTCCTCTTTTCTGTCTTTTTTTTTTAATATATTTTTTTTATTTTTTACAGAGAGGAAGGGAGAGGGATAGAGAGTTAGAAACATCGATGAGAGAGAAACATCGATCAGCTGCCTTCTGCACACCCCCTACTGGGGATGTGCCCGCAACCAAGGTATATGCCCTTGACCAGAATCGAACCTGGGACCTTTCAGTCCGCAGGCCAACGCTCTAGCCACTGAGCCAAACTGGTCAGGGCCTCTTTTCTGTCTTGAACACACGCCTTTCAGGTTTTGTCCTCCACCAAAAGTGCTCTTGTCAAAGTGGCCGCCGTGTGGCACCTCCCACCCTCAGGGCAGCTGCCAGCTCAGGTGTGTCTCAGTCCTTGCCCTTCTGGACGTGCCCTCACACCTGACACAACAGGCCCCTCCTTGAAGCAGCGTCCACACCTGCTTCCCGGGCCCCCCTGCCTGGCTGCTCTCCTTTATCTCCTCGGCTGGATCTTGCCCTCTCACCTTGGCGTCCCCCAGAGTTCAGCTCCTAGTTGTCGTCTCTCACTGCCCTCACTTCCTTACAAATCTCCCCCTGGAACCAAGGATTTAAATATCAGTATCTGCTGACGAGTCCTAAATTTCTATCTCCAGCCTAGATCTACCCCTGAATCCAGGCTGCACTGTCCAGCTGCCTCTTCTAGTTGACTGCTCACTGCATCTCCATCTGAGCGCTCACTGAGCATCTCAACCTCCATATGTCCACAACCACACAAAGTGCCAATATGCTGAATACACAGGTCACTCATCTCAGTGAAGGGCGACTCTGTCCTGTCACTGTCATTTAGGATTGGAATTATAGAATCAATATCTTTAGTAAAGTAGTCAATTCAAACAGAAGCATTGCAGTCAAGGAGACTAGATTTCAACTCTGCCTCTGTCGCCTACTGGCTGTGTGACCTTGTGCAAGTTACTTAACCTCTCTCAGCCTCAGTTTCCTCACCTGTAAAATGGGGATAATAATAGTACCCAGCATGTGCTCACATGATTCACACTTGGGCAAATTAAATGTCATGTAAAATACTTAACATAGAGATACTGCATTTTGAAAAAAAGAAAATGTAGCTATTATTAGGATATTGGTTTTTCTCCCTGTCACTCCACATTTTAGTCTTTTTATTCCTCCTTTCCGTAGTCCTCAACCAGAACTCCAGAGGTAGCACAGTTGAATCTAATTTGAAAGCTACATAACCAAAGACATAAGTCCAAATATAGGTTTTAAAAAGTGCAGAGTTGTGAAATTATTTTAGAAACAATAGAATTTAAATGCCCATGCCCATTATACCTGGTTTCTTGGTCTGCTGTATAAGGGTCTCTACACCCTTCACTGTATTTCCACTATTCCCTTAAAGTACGGCCAGCCTTGCCCCTGGCAGATGTCCACTGCTTCCCCGTTTGCTCTGCCGGTATGGTATTTCTTTTTCTCTCTATTTATCAAAAGTTTACTTCACCTTCAACCCAAGTTCTGAAACTGACCAGACGTCCCTCT